CAGGGGGCCCCAAGAGGGCCCTTAGGGGGCCCCCAGGGGGCCCCAAGAGGGCCCTTAGGGGGCCCCCAGGGGGCCCCAAGAGGGACCTTAGGGGGCCCCCAGGGGGCCCCAAGAGGGCCCTTAGGGGGCCCCCAGGGGGCCCCTAGGGCCTCCAAGCAGCAATTTAGTGAGCTGCAAACTGTTCTGCTTTACTTACTCCTGACTGCAGCGGGGAAACAAGATATCCAGCAGCAACTAACTGGCAGCAGCAGCAACAGCAGCAGCAACAGCAGCAGCAGCAGCAACAGCAGCAGCGACGGGCAAGCGGGCTGAAAAAATTGCAGCAGCGAAAGATGAGGCAGCGTCGCGCAGATAACGCAGCGACATAAGTCCGGAGGCAGCAGCAGCCTGCAGCAACTGCAGCAACTTCAGCAGCAGCAGCAGCAGCAGCAAGAGCAGCTGCTGCAGCCGCCGCGCCCTGTAGAGGCCCCAATAGCAGCATGAGCAGCAGCACTTTGCTGCAGTTGCGGGACGAGAGGCAACTGCAGCAGCAGCAACCTGGAGCAGCTGCTGCAGTGGCAGCACGAGCGATAGCTGCAGCAGCAACAGCAGCAGCAGCAGCAGCAGCAGCAGCTCCAGCAGCTCCAAGAGCGTCCGCAGCCTGCAAGAGTTTCTTGAATTTTAGTTAAAAGCATTTTAAAGTGGCAGTGAAGTCTTGCAGCCACGCATGTGCTGCTGCTGCTGCTGCTGCTGCTGCTGCTGCTGGCCAGCAAGCCCCAGCCCGACAGCCGCAGCAGCTTCGGGGGGGCCCCCTCAAAGTTGCTGCTGCATTTCCCTTTTTTTTGTCTTTTTTCTTTCTTTATTTTAGGGGGGAGCCGCTGGCTTCGCGTCGAAGAGAGCAGCTGCTGCTGCTGCTGCTGCTGCTGCTGCTGCTGCCTGCGCCGCTCTCCCGGTGCGCGGGAGCCGCACCCCCCTACTCTTGGCTGCCTTCCGCTGCCTTGGCTTTGGCTAGCTGGCTAGCTGGCTAGCTATTTGCCTAGCTAGCCACTCAATAGCGAGGATGTGGGGCCCGTTGGGGGTGGCCTGCAGCCTGGCGTGGGCGTTTGGCGTTGCTGCTGCGGGCGCCGAGCCGCCCCAGCAGCAGCAGCTGCAGCAGCAGCAGCTGCAGCAGCAGCAGCTGCAGCAGCAGCAGCTGCAGCAGCAGCAGCACAGCCAGGGAAACCTGGGCGAGTGGAACACAGACGAAGACGAGGGGGGCCCCCTAGAGGGCCCCTCCTATTCCTTTCCAGTGGACCCAGAGGAGCCTTTGGCTTATCCTCGGGGGGGCCCCCTGGCAGCAGGTTTGTCGCAGCAGCAGCAGCAGCAGCAGCAGCAGCTGCGGGGCGCAAAGACAGCAGCATTTGGCCTTCTCGCGCTGCTGGTTGCGCTCGCCGTCGGCTGCCTCCGCAGCAGCAGCAAAGGGGAAGCAGCGCAGCAGCAGCAGCAGCAGGAGCCGGGCGCTGCGGCGCCTCCGGAGCCGCAGCCTGCTGCTGCTGCTGCTGCTGCTGGCGCGGGAGCTGCTGCTGCTGCTGCTGCTGCAGTCACTGTCTCCGGCTTAATGGAAGTTCTCTTTTCCTTATTGCCCCGGAGGCTGGTGCCTCCTGGGAAGCGGCGGCTGCTGCGGGGTTTGCTGCAGCTGCTGCTGGCTGCTGCTGCTGCAGCGGCGTTCGCAGTGGGCAGCAGCAGGAGCGCAGCAGCAGCAGCAGCAGGCAGGTTCATAACGAAGTCCGAAGTCCGGGTCTTCTCTCGAGTGCTGGCGCTGCTGGGGCTGCTGCTGCTGCTGCAGCGGTTGCTGCTGAAGGCAGCAGGGAAGCTGCTGCTGCGGCAGCGGCGGGTGGAGCCCTTTTACGGCGGGGACGCAGCAGCAGCAGCAGCAGCAGCAGCGTCTCGCGACGCAGCAGCAGCAGCAGCAGAGGACTCCGGAGGAGCAGCAGCAGGGGAGCCCTTGGGGGCGGGCTCTGGGGAGAGCCCGGGGGCGGCGGAGGAAGCAGCAGCAGCGCAGCAAGCCGCAGCAGCAGCAGCAGCAGCAGCAGCGGAGGCGCGCGAAGAGGAGCAGCAGCTGGAACGCTACCCAGCAGCAGCAGCAGCAGCAGCAGCAGCAGCAGAAGCCTCGGACAGCCTGTCTTCAGGTGTATATACAGCTGAAGGAGTGCTGCCGCTCGGGCCACAAGAGCAGCAAGCTTACATTGAGCAGCTAGCTGGAATATTAGCAGCAGCAGAACCTGTCTTGAGTTTTGCTGACAGCAGCGCGGAGGAGACCAGCAGCGGGGAGCCTGGGGAGCAGCAGCAGCAGCAGCAGCAGCAGCAGCAGCAGCAGCAGGGCAGCGACCCGCGCTGGGGGCACCCCGATAAGGCCGCGCTGCAGCAGCAGCAGCAGCAGCAGCAGCAAAGCTGGTCTTCTGCTGCTGCAGAGGGACAAGACACGGACTGAGCTGCAGCAACGCAGCCAGCACCGAGGGACACGGACACCGAGACACAAGCAGCAGCAGCAGCAGCTGCTGCTGCTGCTGCTGCTGCTGCTGCTGCAGCAGCAGCGAGGCCGATTCGCAGCCAAAAGGGAGAAGCAGCAACAGACACAAACGCAAAGAGGCCAACTCAGTGGGCGGGCGGAGTAGCGCCTTCCCAGCAGCACAGAAGTTTCAGCAGCAGCTGCAGCAGCAGCTGCTGCTGCTGCAGCAGCAGCTGCTGCTGCTGCAGCAGCCGCAGCAGCAGAGCGGCGGCGGCAGCAGTGCGAGTGGAAGTGACGCCGGCAGCAGAAGCTGCTGCAGCGGCAGCAACTGCAGCAGCAGCGGCAGCAACTGCAGCAGCAGCGGCAGCAGAGTTTCAAGCAGGTGAGCCGCTGAAGTGGGTTTCAATGAGGAAAAGCCGTTTCGCTGCAGGGCTGTGGGAGCGACGCAGGAGTTTATATATGTGGCGTTGAGGACCTTTTGCTTCGCAGGAGAAGCGTTTGAGGTGTACGTACACCTCGGGGCTGCGAAGACGGTCCCGTTTGCTGCTGCTGCTGCTGCTGCTGCTGCTGCTGCTGCTGCTGCTGCTGCTGGAGCTGTTTAAAGAAGCAAAATGGGACTCGAGGGAGTTTATATGTTTTATTTGTGTTTGACAAATGCTGAGCAAAGAGGGATGGGCGTGGGCGATGTGTACGTACACCTGGAGAGGCAGGTGCTGCGGGCGGCCGAGCGCTGCTGCTGCTGCTGCTGCTGCAGCAGCAGCTGCTGCTGCTGCTGCTGCTGCTGCAGCAGGCACTTGCCTTGTGTTTCGTTTGTCTCCTTTTATCTTTAGCAGCTTTCTTCTTTTTATTTCTTTCTTCTTTCCTGCCTCACCCCGCTGCCCCGCGCTGAGGTGTACGTACACCGCAGCCCTTTGGGGTGTACGTACACCTCATTTTGGCCCTCAGCTCTCCCCAAATGAAGCATTTCTTTCCGGGTGGCAATTCGACACGCAGCTCGTCCTTTCTTTGCTGCTGCTGCAGCAGCAGCAGCAGCAGCAGCAGCAGCTGCGGCAGCAGCGGCAGCAGCAGCTGCAGCTGCAGCAGCAGCTGCAGCTGCAATAGCAGCTGCAGCAGCGGCAGCGGTAGCAGCAGCTGCAGCAGCAAAATCAGCAGCAGCAGAAGCAGCTGCAGTAGCAGCAGCAGCTGCTGCTGCTGCAGCAGCAGCAAGGGGAGGGCAGCAGCTGCAGCAGCAGCTGCAGAAGCGGCTGCAGCAGCAGCAGCTGCAGCGACAAGGCAGCTGCGTGCTTTGAACTTGTGCTCAGCAGCAGCAGCTGGGATCGGGTGCTGTGAAGTCTGGGATCGAGCGCTGTGGGGACTGGGATCGGGTTTGTGGGGTGTGGGATCGGTTTGTGGGGTGTGGGATCGGTTTGTGGGGTGTGGGATCGTGGGAAGGCTCTGGCAGCACCCCAGCAGCTCTGCTGCAGATGTGCAAGAAAGTGCATGCAAAGATGAGGGGCCGCGGAGTGGGGTGTACGTACACCCCGAGTTGGTCAGCAGCAGCAGCAGCTGCTGCTGCTGCTGCTGCAGCAGCAGCAGCAGGTGTGGAGGGCTTGTTGCAGCTCTTCTTTCAAATGTGCAATTGAGAAACTAAACCCGAACTTGTGTTTGTAATAACTCTTGCCGTTGCTGCTGTTTTGAGGAGCAGCAAAAGCGGATGTGTGGGGCCCCACAGCACTTGAGGTGTACGTACACCTGAAGCGCGACTGCGTTAAGCCGGGGTCGCTGCAGCTCAAGTTGGCGAAAAAGCCGCCAAAAGTGGTCAAATTTAGCGCAAAAGAAGCGCAATTAGACCTTTAATAATCTAAATAATAAAAAGATAATTATATTTGATCAAATTGGACAAAAAGAAACCAAAAAAAGGGCCAAAAAGAAACCAAAAAAGGGCTTTTCTCCGGGGACGCTCGAGACAGCTCCGGCTGGCGGGCTGCTGCAGCAGCTCGAGGCCCTTCTGCGGAACACTGGAGTTGAATTAAATGAAAAATCATTTTAAATAAATTAAATTTAATTTTAATTTGTTGAAGAATTCGTTTTGCCAATTTAAAAGGGCAAAAGAAGCAGCGGCGCGCACGCGGAGGAGCGCCCAGTGGCTGCTGCTGCTGCTGCTGCTGCTGCTGGGGTTCGAGTGGCGGCAGAAAAACTCCGTTTTCGCTCAAACTAAGCTTGCAAATGAGCGCGAAATGCAAAAGCAAAGAAAACTGGCGAAAATAAATGCAAAAAGGAGGAAAAGTTGGGCGAAATTGCTGCAGCAGCTTCCCCCTCCCTCTCGACGCCGTCGCGGTGGCTGGGGCTGAGCTGCGGCGCTCGCCGGGGCGTCCGCTTTTGAATTTCTTTCTTTTTACCCCAACAGCTTTTTGTTATTTCCCAATTAATGACAAATTAAGTACTACTTTAGCTGGGGCGCCTTCGAATTGCGGCGCTGCAGCGGCGGGCGACGGGCCCCGAGCGAGACGGCTGTGGGTCTGAGGCTTGCTGCTAGTTGCGGGCTTTTGGCGGCTTTTCTTTCTCTAAATTGAATAAAAATTGAATTAATTCTCTTTTATTTCCATTTATTTCTCTAATCGAGTTTAAACGGCCTTAATCGGCCTTCTGAACTGCAGTCCGCGGCGCGCGGCGCTCCTCCCGAGCTGTCTGTACACCTCGAGCCGCCTTCCGTCTCCCCCTCCCCTTCCCCCTCTCTCCATTAAATCACTTTTAATTAAAAAGAACAAAAGGCATTTTTATTTTGGACTTTGCGCGTTTTGGGTGGCGGCTTGCTGCGGCTCGGGTGTACGTACACCGCAGCCACTGCGCACTCACTCGACCCGCCGCGAGCGGAAGGCAGAAAAACAAAAGCGGAAAATAAAAAAAGAAAATAAAAACAAAATAAATTCTTCTTTTCCGAAACTAAATTGAACTTCACTTCAAATTATGAGGACTCCGGCGCTGAAGGTTGGCGGCGTTCTCGCCGCCCTGTGCGCGTTCTCGCTGCTGCTGCCGGCCGCAGCAGCAGCAGCAGCAGCAGCAGCAGCAGCGGAGCAGCAGCTGCTGGAGGCGGCGCCGGCGGAGGCGCGGCCGCGGGCAGCAGCGGCGAGCCGAGCAGCAGCAGCAGCAGCAGCAGCAGCAGCAGCGCTGGAGGCGCCAGTGCCGCTGTCGGGGGGCCGGGAGCAGGTGTCTGTACAGCTGGAGGGAGCAGCAGCAGCAGCAGCAGACGCGGAGTTCCAAAAAGTGGCCGAAGAATTAATTAAAAGGATTTTTCCGAGTCCAGGAAGTGGTTTTTTGTGGGGTTTGCGGGGTGTACGTACAGCAGCAGCAGGGCTGCTGGGGCTTGCTGCTGTGCTGCTGCTGCACTTCTTTGCTGCTGCGGGGCCTTTGCTGCTGCATGCGAAGGAGGAGGGCAGCAGCTTGAGCCTCAAGGGGGTGGGGTTGGTGGTTTCTTTGGTGCTGCTGCTGAGCGGCGCAGCAGAAGCTGCTGCTGCTGCTGCTGCAGCAGCGGGAGCAGCAGCAGCAGACGGCCCGCAGCTGCTGCAGCTGCCCGGGCTGCTGACGCGGGGCCGCCGCCGCGCTGCAGCAGGAGCGGGGCTGCTGCTGCTGTCCTCGCTGCTGCTGCTGCTGACCTGGCTGGCGGGGCTTCCTGCTGCAGCAGCAGCAGCAGGACAGGTGGGCCTCGTGGCCGGGGCCACTCTTGCTGCTCTCGGAGTGCTGCTGCTGCTGCATGCAGCTTTTAGTACTTTCAAACTCTCCAAGAAGCTCTTCGAGCTGCCGCAGCAGCAGCAGCAGCAGCACCTGCCGCAGCAAGCAGCAGCAGTGGACGCGCAGCTGCTGAGCCAGCTGCTGGAGCACTTCTCCGAGGAGGAGCCCGCGGACGCAGCAGCAGCAGCAGCAGCAGCAGCAGACGCAGCAGCAGCAGCAGCAGCAGCCAAACAGACCGTGCAGCACGCGCTGCGCCTCCTAGCAGCAGGAGCAGCACTCAGCAGCGAGCAGCAAACTGGACTTGCAGAAGCAATTACGAAGCAGCTGCTGGAAGCAGAAGACGGACTCCCGCTGCTGCTGGACAGCGAAAACGTGCGGCCCCTCGCGCAGCAGCTGCAGCAGCAGCAGCAGCAGCAGCAGCAGCAGCAGCAGCAGCAGCAGCAGGCGGGGGCCGGGGGGGGGCGCGGGCCGGAGGGAGGCGAGCGAGCTCGGCCGTGACAAACCAGCAGCAGCAGCAGCAGCAGCAGCAGCAGCAGCAGCAGCAGCAAGGGGGCTGGGCTGAGTCTGTGCGGCGGAAACGGCAGACAGCAGATCAGTGGTAGTGCAGCAGCAGCAGCGGCTGCTGCTGCAGCAGCAGCAAAGACAACTGCGCGAGGCAGCAACAGCAGCAGGAGGGCTTCACAGCAGCAGCCGTAAAGGCACACTGCAGCAGCAGCAGCAAAAGTGCTGCTGCAGCAACGGGAAACACAGTAACGGCAGTAACAGCAGTAACAGCAGCAGCAGCAGCAGCAGCAGCAGCAGCAAAATGCAACATTGGTGATGTTTCACGGGAATAAAGAGCGTCAGGAGAGTCGCTGCAGCGCCGTGTGGCTGCAGCAGCAGCCTCTGCTGCAGCAGCAGCAGCAGCAGCTGCGGCCGCTGCTGCTGCAGCAAGTAGTTGCAGCCCTTGAGCTGCTCTTTGTACGTGGACTGTTTGCTCAAGACTGTTTGTTCCAGTTTTGTATAGTTTTTCCTTGCTGCTGCAGCAGCTGCAGCTGCTGCTGCTGCAGCTGCAGCAGCAGCAGCAGCAGCAGGGGCTGCTGCAGCCGCGGCAGCCGAAGCTGCAGCAGCAGCAGCTACTGCAGCAGCAGCTGCAGCAGCAAGGAGGACAGCGAGGAGGAGCAGCAGGAAGGGGCAGCAGCAGCAAGAGCAGCAGCAGCGAGAGCAGCAGCACGCAATGAAGACCCTGAGCAGCTCGCGGAGCTGCAGCAGGAAGCTCAGGTGTACATACACCTCAGGGCGGCAGCAGCGCAGCTGAGGTGTACGTACACCGCAGCTGCAGCGCCGCGCAGGTGTGGGGCCCTTCTGGCCTCAGGGAAAAACTAATGAGAACTTTAAGATGTGCCTTTTGCTTCCCACCAGGGTTTAGGGTTTAGGGTTTAGGGTTTAGGGTTTAGGGTTTAGCCGCTAGGGTTTAGGGTTTGGGGCTTCAGGCTTTCAAGATGTGTCTTTTGCTTCGCGAGGTGTACGTACACCTCAAACCACCTCGAATTCTTCTTGGAACTCCTGCGGCCCCACAGCAGCGACAGATCTAGGGTTTGGGGATGAGGGTTTAGGGTTTAGGGTTTAGGGTTTAGGGTTTAGGCTCTAGGGTTTAGGGCCTTCAAGTTGCGTTTTCGCGCCGCTGAGGTGTACGCACACCTCAGACCACTTCGAATTCTTCTTGGAACTCCTGCGGCCCGCCAGCGGCGACAGCTGTAGGGTTTAGGGTTTAGGGTTTAGGGTTTAGGGTTTAGGGTTTACCTGCATAAAGTGCACCAGCTCCTCCACTTGCTGCATAGACACCCCGGAGTAGAGGCAGGCTCGAAGACCGCCGAGGGAGCGGTGCCCATTCTGCAGCAGCCACAATCGAGGGTTTAGGGTTTAGGGTTTAGGGTTTGGGGTTTAGAGTTTAGGGTTTAGGGTTTGGCAAGCAGCGGTGAGGGTTCGCGCTGGGCTTCCAGCTGCTGGTCTGCGGCTTAGGCATAGCTGGTGAAGATTGCTAGCCTCGAGGGTTTGTAAGGGTTTAGGGTTTAGGGTTTAGGGTTTAGGGTTCAGGGTTTCAGACTAGGGTTTAGCATTAGGGCTAAGGGTTTAGCAGAGGGTTGGGGGTTTGGATCGTGCTGGTTTCGCAAGAAGGCCCCGCTGGTGTTTGGGTTTAGGGTTTAGGGTTTAGGGTTTAGGGTTTGTTGGGCCTCCAAACTGCCGGCAAAAGCCACTAAGTGCTGCATCCTTAGGGTTTAGGGTTTAGGGTTTAGGGTTTGGGATTTTCTGCATGTTGCGTCCTTTAAGGCTACTGCGGAAGAGCGAAGATTAGGGTTTAGGGTTTAGCGTAAGAGTGCAGATTAAGGTTTAGGGTAAGAGTGGATAGTACGGTATAGACTTCAGGGAGAGAGCGGAGCTTAGGGTTTAGGGTTTAGGGTTTAGGGTTTAGGGTTTTGTGTGTACTAGGCAGATCGTGTTGCGTTCTCCTGCCCTTTTCAAAAAGACTTTTGTGAGTTCTTCATCTTTCAATTTGACCTGTTAAGCACTAGGGTTTAGGGTTTAGGGTTTAGGGTTTAGGGTTTAGGGTTTGGGAGTACTAGGCAGATCATGTTGCGTTCTTCTGCCTTTTTCAAAAAGACTTTTGTGAGTTCTTCATCTTTCGCTTTGGCCTGTTAAGAACTAGGGTTTAGGGTTTAGGGTTTAGGGTTTAGGGTTTAGGGTTTAGGGTTTAGGGTTTGGG